TTGTTGTTGTTATTGTTGTTGTAATCCGGGGGGCCAGGGACACATTTTGAGCACCCAGACTTGCCCTGTCAAATAACAGGGTGCGAGCGTCGAGGGGCACACTTCGATTGAAAAACAGCATGCGCCGGTGAGGCGGGATTAACAATCACCATTCTTCAGAAGTGAGAGTTCAATACCAACAGCAGCACCACCACCAACAACAACCACACCGACAACTTCATCAACAACAATTATGTTCAGACGGTTCGCTCTTATCTGTTCGAGTGTCCTTTAACGCAGATTTCCCAAACCCTCGAATCCCGCCCTCTGCGTCTTCGATCGTACCCCATTTGGGGGGTATACCTTTCTTCTCCTGCAGGCCGGGCCCCGGCACGCGGCGGGGCGGCCGCGGACCGTCGGCCTGGCCAGCGGAAGCGCTGATCGGCGGCAACCCGCTCCCAAGAGGGACGGACAGGGGACCGACCACGACGACGACGACGTCGACGACGACGACGACAGCGACGACAACGACGACGACGACGACGACCGAAAGCGAGAGTGAGAGAGAGAGAACGACACAAGGGCCACGAAGGGCACGAAGTAGGCCACGAAGGGTCACAGCGGGGACACGAAGGGAATGGGCATGGGGCCACAAAGAGCGCGAACGGGCGGGGGCCACGAAGGGCAGATAAAGCGGGGCCACAGAAAGCAACGACGGGGCCACTGAGGGTTGCAATTGGGCCACGTAGGACAGCGAGGGGGCCACGAAGGGCGACAGCGGGGCCACGAAGGGCATGCACATGGGGCCACGACGGGCGCGAACGAGCGGGGGCCACGAAGGGCATACGTATATTGGGCCGCGGAGGGCAAGGACGGGACCATTGAGGGTAGCAACGGGGCCACGAAGGGCAGCGAGGGGGCCACGAAGGGCGACGGCGGGGCCATGCGTATGGGGCCACGACGGGCGCGAACGACGGCCCCGAACGAGCGGGGGCCACGAAGGGCATGCATACATAGGGCCACGAAAGGCAGCGAGGGGGCCACGAAGGGTTGCAACGGGCCACAAAGGGCAGCGAGGGGGCCACAAGGGGCTGCAACGGGGCCACGAAGGGCAGCGAGGGGGCCACGAGGGGCTGCAACGGAACCACGAAGGGCAGCGACGGGGCACGAGGGGCTGCAACGGGGCCACGAAACAAAGCGAGGGGGCCAGGAAGGGCTGCAACGGGGCCACGAAACAAAGCGATGGGGCTACGAAGGGTTGCGACGGGGCCACGACAGGCAGCAAGGGGGCACGAAGGGCTGCAACAGGGCCACAAAGGGCAGCGATTGGGCCACGAAGGGCGGCAAGGAGGCCACGAAGGGCACCGAGGAGGCCACGAAGGGCTGCAACGGGGCCACGAAGGGCAGCGAGATATCGATTCTGAAATAGTCTGTGAGGAAATCCTAAGCGTGAGCGTGACTCCTGGGTGCCTGAGTGTCGGGAGCGCGGCGCTTGAGCAAAATGCGGGACATTCACACGCAAGGGCGCTACTCTTGAGCAAATTGGGAGAAGTCCCCAGCGAGAGCGCGACTCCAAAGCGCCGAGAGAACGATTCTTGAATACATCGTGAGGAAGTCCAAAGCGAGAGCGCGATTCCTGAATCAAATGCGAGGACGGCTCGGCCGGGAGCGCGATTCTTGAATAAATTGTGAGGAAGTATCAGGCGGGAGCTGCTGTTGTTGTAAACCGGGGGCCAGCCATACAGTTTGAGCTTCAAGCTTTTCCCTGCTCAAAAACCGGGTGCGAGTCCCGGGAGGGGCACTTCAATCGTAAAATTACCATGTGCGCTCGGAGGGGGAGCAACAATAATTACTCAGCAAAAGTGAAAGTTCAACCACAGCAACAACAAACATTTTAAGACTGTTCGCTCTTATCTGCTCGCGTGTCAATATGCATATCCCAAACCGTGGATACCCGCCCTCTTTGTCTTCGGTCGTCCCTTATTTGGGGGGTATATGCATTCCCTGCCACGTGTGGTTGGTGAAGCCCTTGAAAACGAAGGGCAACAGATAACGGGGGAGAATGAGGACGAAGGGATCGGAGGAAGGGAGGGGAGGGGCAAGAAGGAGGGAGGACGATGATTTGCGCTGTGAGTGGCGATTCAGCTTGCGCCATGGCTTGCGCCAGCAACTCCAACACATGTTAACAATAAGTTTCGCCATGGGTCGCGCCATAAACAGCGCCACGCACCACCCCCTTGAAAGAACACATCGTGGATACCCCCACGGGGGACGGACAGCTGCGAACTGGTGTCGGAAACAAATTTCGTGGAACCCTGCAAAGAAGCGGGATGTTTGGAGAGCGGGGCGGAAGGATAGTGATAACTGCAATCGTGTCGAGAGGAGCGCGGGGATGTGGAGTGGATTGGGATGGGTTGGACAAGAGTGGGGTCTCAGGAGGAGGAGCGGCAAGGACTGGAGGAAAGAAACCGGGAGGAGTGCGGAGGAGCGGGGGCGCACGGAGGAATCTGGAGGAGGGACTGCGAATAATTTGGGAGAAATGTGGAATGCGAGCGTGAAGGGGCGGAGATTGTTGGGGTGGGATGGGGCGGCCTGGGGATGGGTGGGCGGAATGCGAAGAACTGAGGAGTAGCACAATGGAGTACGAACGACATGAAAATGAAGATGAAGGGAAAGAGTAGAGAAGATTGGGAAAGAACGTTGAAAAGTGGGGGCAGGTGGATACGAGCGGAGACTGGAGCGGAAACAAGGCGCGGGGGGATTGGAAGGCACCTGGAAGCCTCCTATGACCTCTGGGGGGCCTCGGAATGGTCCCGATGACCACCCAGCAGTTCCAGGGGCTCCGAAACCTGCGGGAACGCCCCGGGGGCCTCGTCAAGGGAGGCCTTCATTCAAAACCTGCAGAAGAACCTGGGCCAGTGGAGCACGCGCGTCTCACAGGCCGGCAAACTGGGCCCGGCAAGCGGCGGACCGTCGGCCTGGCCAGTGGCAGCTCCGGCGATGCACACACCGACCCGCGGCAACCCGACCCCAAGATGGACAGCAGTCCCTAACGAGCTGGTCGGGCGGGCAGGCAGGCCCAGACGGGCGGGTCGAGCGGGCGGGTCGTTGAAGCGTACATTCTGTTTGAACCGCCAGGCAATCTATAGCGGGAGCGCGATTCCTGAGTGTCGAGGAGCGGCATATGAATCGCGATTCGGTGGTAAGTTGCGAGGGAGTCCTTAGCGAGAGCGCGATTCTTCAATAAATTGTGAGGAACTATCAAGCGACAGCCGCGATCCGGTGGCAAATCGTAAAGAAGTCCAAAGCGAGAGCGCGATTCTTCAATAAAAGGTGAGGACGTATCAGGCGGGAGCCGCTGTTGTTGTCAACGGGGGGCCAACGACGCAGTTTGACCTTCAAGATTTTCCCGGATCGAAAAAAGCAGGGTGCGAGCCCCGGGAAGGACATGCCAATCGAAAAAATTCCGTGTGCACCGGACGGGGGGGATCAACAGCAATTACTCTTCAGAAGTGGGAGTTCAGCCACAACAGCAACGACGACGCAGCAAACACATTATCCCCACCACGGCTTCTCACCTCGAGCCACGCACCCAGGGACAATGACTGCCCGCTCGGCCCCCTCGCTCTGATATCCGAGCCCTTTTGGTGCCAGCGCACATCCGCACCCACCACGGATTCTCACTTCAGCCACGCACCCAGGGACAATGACTGACCGCTCGGCCCCCTCGCTCTGATATCCGAGCCCTGGGGGTGCCAGCGCACAGCCGCACCCACCACGGATTCTCACTTCAGCCACGCACCCAGGGACAATGACTGCCCGCTCGGCCCCCTCGCTCTGATAGCCGAGCCCTTTTGGTGCCAGCGCACATCCGCACCCACCACGGATTCTCACTTCAGCCACGCACCCAGGGACAATCCCAGACCCCCGACGTAATGATTTTTTCATTACGTCGACCTCCAGAGGTCCCGACCCTTTCCCCATGACCGGCTTTGCATCCTGAGTCGTTTTTTGAGGCTCCCGAGGCCCGGTAAGGGCCCCCGGAGGCCGAGAATTAGGAAAAACCTCCCGTCATGATTTTTTCATTACTCGAGGGGGTCTGGGATGACTGACCGCTCGGCCCCCTCGCTCTGATGTCCGAGCCCTGGGCGTGCCCGCGCACAGCCGCACCCTCGCCCTGCCGGGGCCTCCGACGCTCGAGGCCCCCCGGGCGAGGATCGTTCTGGCGCCGCCCCTCGCCTCGCAGAGGACGGGCCCTTCCTGGGCCGGCGCTGAGCCACCCCCTCCCTCGCCCAGGAGGGCGAGGAGGAGGAGGGCGCGGCGAGGAGGGCAGGGAGGAGGAGGGCGAGGAGGAGGAGGGCCGGGCCGGGCCTCCCTCCCTCCGTCCCTCCTCCCTCTACCGCCTGGCGACGTGGAGAAACAGCACGGCGGGCCGTCTTCGGCACTCTTCGGCCCCCCGGGGGCGCCCCCCCGGGCCCCGGGAGCGTCGCAGAACAGCTCGGGGAAGAAATCCGGCCCCGGAGATGGAGTCCAGACTTCGCGGGGGTCCGCGTCGGGAGCAAAAGCGCGACGGTGGAGTTTGGGGTCCTTGCGCGCGAGGCGCGCCAGTGGTGGCGCCAGTGGCGCGGCCAGGGGGGCCCAACGCCGACCCACGGAATCCGCGCGGTCCTCCGGAAGTTTGTGCGTAATTACTGCTGTTTTGGTCTGTACCACGAGGGTCAGATATGAAAAAAATAGGGGCGCCCAAGATCTGCCACTTGCAGCTGGTCACCACCCTGCCCTCGGGCCGGGCGTCCTCCGTGGACACGTCGGCGCTTGCACCGCGGGGAAACGCAACTGCATGGAGTTGATTCGCCAACCCCTACCCTTCGCTATCGCCCTTTTTCGTCCGCCCCCGAAGGAAGGGGGCGCTACGTTGTGCCTACTCCTGTCCCCCCCCCTCCCCCCGCATAACGCTGGTTATGACAAAACAAAAAAAAACGCTTTCCTTGTCCCCCCCCCCGCCTTCGACCCCCAAGAAGGATGCCACCCTCGGCGGCGGCGGCGAGCCTGGCGATGTCGTCCGTCGGCGGCAGCCGCGCGCGCGCCGACTCCGCCGCGGACGGCGCCGGGGCGGGCGTCAGAAGAGGGAGGGGGATGCTGAGCTTCGTTTGTTGGTTGTGCACTTTGGTGGATCACCCGCTCCTGGTCCTTCGGCGCAGTCCCTGCTCCTTCTACATCGGTGTCTCTTTCTCGTCGCCAGGCGTGTCCTCAGGGTTTCGCTGGAGACGTTCTTTCAGTGTATGATTCTCAGCCTTGGCAAGCCCAATGGCTTCGTTTGCGCGCGCAGATCGCACGAGGTGTTCAAGTGCGGTGTTCGTTCCAGTGCCTCGCACATACTTCATACAAGTTTCATGGTTTTTCGTTTGAGCGCTGCGCACATGTGTTTCCACAGTCTTCAACAGCTCTGCAGACGGAGGGCGGGTCGGATTCAAAATGTGGCTCTCGGCGCAGCGCCGCGCAAATCTGTTGTACAATCGTTCGACAGGTTCGCGGATGGATGATACGTATTTTAAAAGTCTGTCTGGTCTTGGTTTGCTTGCGTGTCCCCCCATCAGGCAGCTATCGCAGCATGGATGTTTCAGCCATGTCGTGCAAGCTTCCTGGTGCAAGCTGTGTAGTGCAGCCATTGTGGTGCAAGGTATGCTGTGCAAGTTATGTCGTGCAAGCTATGTGTTGCAAGCTGTGCGATTCAGGCTTACGCGTGCACGTGCAAGCTGTGAGCTGCAAATTCTGTGGTGCAAGCTGTGCGGTGCGATGTCCGTGGTGTAGGCTATGTGGTGGAAGCCGTGTGGTGTAATCGATCAGGTGCAAGCTGCGTGGTGGAGGCTATGTGGTGCAAGCTATGCGGCAAAAGCTGTGTGGCGCAAGCCGTGCGGCTGCCCAGCGCGCGAGGCGTCCACGAGGCGCCCGCGGGCGGGCAACGGGCGAAACCTCGGCTGGCACTGCCGGCGCACGAGGCGCCCACGAGCGCTCACGGGCGGGCGCCGGGCGAAGCCTCGGCCGACCCATCCGATGCCGCAGGGCAGCGAAGCGTTCTCGCCCTCGGGAGTGTGGAGGTCAAGGAGAGCAGCATCACGGAGACGGAGGGCGTCCTCCTCCGAGATACGAGGTTGTGCAACGACTGCACGGGTGTAGGGTGGCTCCTTCCCCAGACAGCATCTCGCTTCACACCCACTTGGATGTTATGCCCCTGCCTTTTAATGGCGGCGGTCCCGTTGAGAGTGCAAGGTTGTGAAGAATCCTACTAGATTGCTGTTCTGTTCTTTTGCGGTTGTCTCTGGTCTCTGCAGTCCATTCTCCATTCGAATGTCACTTGGGGTGGGGAAGGCCTCCTCTAAACAGCCCAGGTGAAGTGGTGAGGGGCCTTAGCCTCCCGGCCGCTGCAGGTTGCCCCAGGAATCCCATGGGGACGCCATCAAACGGCCAAGATAGCCCAAGATGCTTCGAAGACGGCCTCGAATAAGGCCCCGCAAAAAATTCAAGACGGCCGAGATGGCTCAAGGCTGGGGCTACAAGACCTCCGCGAGAGAGCAAAACGCATTGGAACGCGTTCGAGGTGTTTCAATGTTTTGCCTGTCCCATGCATTGTTTGTTAGACGTCCCGTGATTGCTTCAGCACAGCCCCCAGAGCCCCCGAGATTGTTGCCGAACATGGCTCCAGGGTGACCCCCAACGGCCCCAGGATGCCGCCATGATCGTCCAGGATGGCTCGCCAAGGCCTTAAGAAGGCCCTAGGAAGCCCCAAGAGGCGCGCAAGAAGGGCCCCAGAGGCCCCAATGTATCCCCAAGGGAAAGTTTTCAACCGTCCAGGACATCGCGAACAGCTTCATCTCTAGTGCCCTGTCCAACAAGAACCTTGCATGGAAGAAAAGGCATGTCTCGTTAGACTCGCACATCGAGTCCTTGTCGCGAATGAAGAAGATCGAGGAGCGTGTAAGCAAGCTGCAGCGTATCCACGACGCACGCAAGCGGCACTTCTTCCAGCTGCCGGAGGAGGAGAGGGAGTTGTATCAGACCGTCTTCATGTACACCAACGGCTACACGGACCCGCACGACTGCACGCTCGATGCGGCCAGCGTGCGCGTGTGTGCCGTAGAGGTGGTCCCAGAAGTAGCGAGCCTCGTCACGGTTGGGGGCACGGCGACGAATCCAGATTCATCATTCGGCTCAGCGGTCCCTGGGTCTCCGGATTCCTGAGAGCGGGGCCATGCTTTCATTCCTCGGTGTGCCTCCCGCCAGCGCTCCACCGCCGTCCTGGAGCCCAGGAGCGTACACCGCCAGCACAGGAGCATGCTCCTTCGTGCCCCACGGAGGCAGTGCCATTCAAGGTGTGGTGGGCGGTTCTGATCGACCGCTTGGGATGGTATGGTTTCGGGGTGCCCAGCTCTGGTTGCGGCAAGGGCGGATCTGGTCCCCGTCTGTCCTGCAACGGCGGGTCTGGGCTTGCCTCGCGGCACGTTCTGGAGGCAGCGCCGGAGCTGGAGGGGCCAGGCCCCAGCGGACGTCGAATCTGAAGAATCACCAGGCGATTTTTTGGTGGGCGGCCGGCTTCCCAGGGGTTCCCCGTTCCTGGTTCTGGCGAGAGCTCCGAGTAATTCTGGTCGGCGTCCCGAGTCCAAGGTTGTCTTATTTCAGGAGGGAAAGAAACACACAGACACAATTAATCGTCGACTCCCCAGAAAATATGGGAAAATATGGGAAGTGGGGGGGAAGACAAAAACCCAGAAAATATGGGAAAATATGGGCAACATTTTTATTTGTGTGTATTTATTTGTGTGTCCTGGGGCCCCTTCATTATTGCTGGGCCGATTTCGGTGCGCGACTGGGTTCCCAGCTCCAGGGGTTCCTTGCTCTGTAAGGCTCCCGGATTCTCGGGGCCTTGGCTGCGGCCAAGTACCCGGGTCTTCACGACTACGGTCAGAACAGGAGTGTAGATATTGGAATGTAGGGCGTAGATCCTAGAGAGTAGAGGGCTGACCAGAGTAGATGAGAGGGCTTAGAGAAGAAAGATCAGGGCGAGTTAGAAGGCTTGAAGGTCAACAGTTTAGTGATGTACGCACACCTACAAGCATTTATAGATGTGCAGCTGTTTATGTAGAGACGGCCAAGGAGAGGGAGGGAGAGAGAGAGAGGCAGATAAAGAGAGACAGAGAGAGAGAGAGAGAAAAACAAACAAAACGTGAGTGAGAGTACGTTTGGCCACGGTCAGACTGATAGGGTCGTGAGCTGATAGTTGAGAACAGTACATACCAGATAGCATATCGTCCATATGAGCATACAAGGAGAGAGACAGCATGAGGTAGAAATAGAGAGAGAGGGCCCGAGATATCGGGAGTGACAGAGAGAGAGGGGGAGATCGAAAGAGAGAGTGAGAGGAGTATACATTAGGATCGAGAGCAGAGCGAGTGGAAATCGTAGATACAGTACGGCCGAACACGTTTCAGAACATCGTTTGCGTAATTCCCCGAACAGTGCTTGCATGTGGAGTTTCTTTATTCTTTTTGTTTTGAAGAACTGGGCAGTCTTCGATCTGGCGGCTATGGTGACGCCGTCGCCTCCCCGTCGCCGCCTCGTCGCCGTCCGTCGTCTGGGCCGTGTCTTCGGTATGGTCCCTATGTGCCCTCCTTCGCCGCCATGTCGCCGCCTCGTTGCCGCTTAGATGGCGCAACATAGGTTGCACCGCATTTATTGCATCACAAAGGTTTCACCGCATAGACTACACCGCATAGGCCAGATCAGATAAATTGTACAAACGAGAGCGCACCACATATATTTCACCACATTGATTGCACCCCTCGAATTGCACCGCGTTGCTTGTAGAAAGATATTGCGCAACATAGGTTGCACCCCATATATATAGCACAACATAGGAGTGCACAACATATATTGCACACCCTAGAATGCACCCGTTCGACTGCATCATACAGTTTGCAAAGGAAAAACCGCATATATCGCACAACATGCATCGCACAGCGTATACTGTACTGCACAGAGTGCACATCACATATTGCACGACGTAGGTTGCACCACCTCGGTTCTCCTTCCCATAACGATAGTAGGCTCCACATCCCCTTGTAGTGTAACTTACATATGTTTCCGCCCCTCGCCCATCCCAAATAAGGAGTCATACCATCCTCGGCAGTCCCTTATCGCCCCCCTCACCCCTTACCAAAAACTGTGTGCGCGCACGCCAGTGGATCAAAACTCATTCGTTCCCAAGAATACCTTGCAACACATTGGACGAAGTGCACGCGCGCGTTGTTGCGCGCGCGTGTCGCAATCCTTCCAAAACCTGAGGGTTCGCAGGGGTCTCAGTGGTTTCGAGATCGAGTTTCCCGCAAACGTATAGACAACCAATGGTTTCGCAACTGGAAGTTTCAAACAGCATGCGCTGGCGCTCTTGCGAATTCTTAAGAGAACAATTGGTTTTTCAACATTTCCACTAAGCGATATCAAACATGCCTCTCACGCGGGCATGTCGAAGTCTTTCGAAAGCCTTTACGCGCGTGCTGCCGCAAGAGTCCCTTGCGACAAATTGGACGCAGTGCACGCGCGCGCGCGTTGTCGCGCGCGCATGCAGAAAGCATTGGGACATTCCAGGCTTTGCAATGATTTCATGATCGAGTGTTCCGAAAACACATTGCAACATATGGTTATGCAACATCAGTCCTCAAAAGGGTCTGCGCGTTCTTGCACAGTCTTAGGGAAACGATATGCGTTTTCATTATTATCACAACATTCGACCAGCCGGGCCTCGCGCGCGCATCTCGAAATCATTCGAACGCCCTTGCGCGCGTGCTGGGGGTGGCACGGTCCCTATCAAGCAAAACCATGCATGCCGCTCGCGCGCGTCGGCCGCGCGCGCATGTCGAACTGCTCCAAAAACCTCCATCACTGACGCGAGGACACAGTCATCGTCATCGGCTTCATCAGCATCTCCGCTGGCATTGGCCTTGCCGTCGTCATCGTAATCACCGTCACCATCATCGCAAGTATCACCATTGTGTCCCGCCGTCGACGTCGCCATGACATCGTGCCCGCCCGAGTCACCGACTCGAATTGAAGTGCGCGCTGGGAAGTGCCCAGCGGTCAGCGCCACCGCGGCCGCGTCAGTCGCGCCGCACTAGTTGGCCGCCGTGTGCGCGAGCATGCCAGGGCTAGCGCGGCCGCAGAGGTGCACCAATCAACACCAAGCACTCATCGCAATCGCCGCCGCATAGTTTTCGCAAACCAGGTTCCGGGTAGGTGGGTGGGATAATTTTGCGAGAGGTAGAGTTGTCAATTCCACGTTTGTCAAAGTTGGTTGCACCACGTGGACTGGACAACATAAATGGCACCACATAGACTGCACCATTTCAACTGCACTGTATATGCTGCACCGCATGCATATTCAACCTCATAGGTTGCACCACATGTGCTGCTCAACGTGGATTGCTCGAAACAGAGCGCACAACATACATAACACCACATATATGGCACAATATCGATTGCACAACCTAGACTGCACCACGTATATTGTTCAACACATTACGAGATGCATACTGCTTGGGGTCCACGCTGGCTTTGATTTTGTAGTATAGCCCAGGGGAACCGACCCTCTTCCAGGACCGATCTCCTCGTCGCAACGGCTGGATAAAGCTCAGATATCTATGAGGTTTGGGTTCTCGGTTGGTACCATGGGCTTGTCTTTTTGCGAGCTGTTGCGGCCCATAGGGGGAGATTCAGGCAAATCGTTCGAAGCGTCCTGCGCATCTGCTCTGAACTCAGACGATTCTGCTCATCCTCCTCTTTTTTCCTCCTCCGACTTCTCCTCCGACTCCTGCTCCTCGTCCTCCTCTCCCTCCTCCTCCGTCCTTCCCCGACCGTAGCGATTTTGGCTCAAACCATTTTGGCTCAAACGCATTCTGGCTGAGGTTGTTCGCCCGGTCAGTCTCACCTTGTGCTGGACCATTCTTGTGCTCGCTTGAGCGCCGCGGTGACGCGGTGAAAGCAAGGTACGACTCCACTTTCGCAGCAATGGTGCCGCCTCCTCCTGCTCCTGGTGGCAACGGCTGGGTTCCGTGGCACAGGCGTGGATGGGGCCCCCCGTGGAGGTGCACCCATTGTGGATGCAAGAAGAACAAGGGCGATTGGTGGTTCTGCAAGCAATGCAAGAGTCCTCGTCCTGCCCTACCTGGTGATGGATCATCTCTTGCACCTCCAGGCCCCCTGCTGGTGCGTGGGCAAATAAATGGGGGGCCGCCTGGTGCAGGCCTGCCGCGTGGGGGTGTCGCTGGCCAAGGGGGCCAAGGGCAGCTTCCACTTCGTGCTGGTCCACTGTTCCAGCATCGGTCGCCCCAGCCTCCTGCTCCGGGCCCGGCCGTCGAGCCCACCATCCCAGAGTTGGAGCACCTCGTGGACATGCTGGAGAAGTGCGGCGACAAAGACACAGCAAACAGGCACAAAGCGACCCTGGAAGCTCGGAAAAAAAGGTTCTTATTCCTGCGGATGTGCCTCTCAACCAGCAGGTCAATCGAGCCTTTCAAGACCTTCGTACTTGGCGTGATCGTACGGTCAAAGCTTGCACTTACTACGACCGGCTGGAGGCCGAGCTCAAGGCACAGCGCGATAAGGTTCGCGAGTGCTCGGAAGGCTTGGCGCTCGCTGAGAAGAAGCACCAGGAACTGGTGGCCCGTCTCAACGACTCGGTGTGCAAGAAGCAGAAGCAGTCGAAGCCCAAGCTTGAGATCAAAGACTTTTTGGAAGGGAAGTTCGAGGACATCCCGCTCAGTGTGGACACCCATGTGGATCCTGCTCTTGCTGCTGAGTACGAAATGTCTTCAGAAGAGAAAGAGGAGATGGACAAACGAGTTTCTAGTCTCAAAGAGGCGCTCCAAACGTCCATCAAGCAGTTGTTCGGCGGAGTGGCCGAGCAGGTCAAGGCTTTCCAAGAGCAGCACGACCAGCAGGTCAAGCGCTTGGCTGCCAAGCGTCGTCGGGGGCCTGATGAGCCCGCTCATCCACCAGGTGGCTCAGCGGGCGCGGCTGGAGGCGACGGCGGCGCGCCTCCTGAGGCGGCGGGGCCAGCCGCTGCTGTGGCGCCGGCGGCCACGCCCGCG